AAAGAGGGCTGACCATTGACAATGCTCTATGGAAGTTTGAGACCACCACATACGACTGCACTATTATTGATGCTCCTGGGCATCGTGATTTCATCAAGAACATGATTACCGGTACCTCTCAAGCTGACTGTGCAGTATTGGTTATTGACTCCACCGCTGGCGGTTTTGAGGTTGGGCAGACACGTGAGCACGCTCTTCTTTTGAGGTTGCCAGGCAGTTGGAATTTGAGTAACCAACAATCATCAAAATCAAAATCAAATATTGATAAGAGAGAACACTAAGCGTAAATTCAACAAACAGGTGGTGGACAAAGAGTTGAACTAACCTGACTTGCAATGGAGAACAACATAACCCACCTCCTTCTGCCGAACCCACTTCCTTTGAGCGCCAAGGATCCTCACCATCGTCGTCGGCTTATGCGAAAGCAGCTCCTTACAAAGCCAGGCGGTCTTCGACCTCCGCCATTACTCCGAGTGCTCCTCAAGCTCCGTCCACTGGCGGCAATGACAAGTGCTTCAGGTTGATGGGCGAACTACAGGGAGTCAATGTCGAAATCATTGGTGGGCTATTCATCTACTTCAAGGTCGACGGTGGTGGGTGACGTGGCGGCGAGGGGAGATAGGGGCAGTGGATGCAGAGGTTGATGGGCTTGAGGGAGGAGGGGAAGTGAAGGGAGGGAAGAGGAGGAGGTTGGTGGTAGTGGTTGAGGGGAAGTGAAGGGAGGGAAGAGGAGGAGGTTGGTGGTAGTGGTTGAGGGGAAGTGAAGGGAGGGAAGAGGAGGAGGTTGGTGGTAGTGGTTGAGGGGAAGTGAAGGGAGGGAAGAGGAGGAGGTTGGTGGTAGTGGTTGAGGGGAAGTGAAGGGAGGGAAGAGGAGGAGGAGGGGAGAGGGAGAGATCTCTTCTGAGCTCAGATGGAGGAGGAGGGGAGAGGGAGAGATCAGTTGGGGATGAAGGGTAGTTTAGGATTTTTCAAATTTTTTGGATAAATACAGTACAAATAATGGGTGTATTGTACATTTGGGTTTAAAAATAAGTGGGATGTGATTTTGTGGGTCTATTGATGTTTTGAAAAGTGAATGGGTTTTTAAATAAGTTGGGGTAAAACTTTGGGTTAAAAGAGGATTTTCCCAAAAAAAAATTACCCAAACGCGCCCTAAAGTGGACAATCGGAATAAAGGTAAAGCGCAAGGGCAAATATGGAATACAAAATCTCCAATCCGTCTATATAATCGGCGGTCCCTCGCCGCCCGCGAAATCGAAGCCTTTCGAAATCTCACTCTCTCCCCTTGTCTCTCTTTCCTTCAAATTTTCACAAAATCCAGAAACTAGGGTTTTCTCTCGATCCAGAATCAGTTGTCGATCTACTGAACCTCAATCGATGAATCCAATGAAGATGAAGATCAACAAGGCCTGCGATCTCAACTCCATCTCCGTCCTCCCTCCGCATTCAAGGTACCGGTCGAATCTCGATCTTCTTTTCCTTCTTCTTCAAATTCTCTTTCTACTTTCGTCTCGATCTGATCTTTTGATCCGATTCATTTTGTTTTTCAAGGAGATCGAACACGATGAGCCAGGCGTCGCAGATCCGATCGCAATCGCAGCAGTCTTTCTCGCAGGGGACGTCGCTGTCTCAGTCTCAGCTCTCGCAGAGCTCGTTTGATGAGAATCTGATGAACGATCAAGTGAGGATTTTATTATTTTTTCGCCTTGATCTTGTTTCGTTCAGCTGGATCGTACTAGTTTGATATGAGAATTTTGTTCTAGGTTACAAATTATCTAGATTCTTGTATTTGCTTGTGCTTCGTGAAAGCATCTTGTCTGTGCAAGAGAATGAGACCTCAAGTAGATCTGATTCTTTTTTTTTTTGGAGTGGATCGGTGTATAAGATCTTTGATGAAGTCCATATCGGGCTTCAAGTGATTTCTTCAAGGAATCCTCGTCCTGTAGAACCATTATATTTTTCTCTGAAAATAAATCTGAAGTAGATCTGATTAAATATTAGATTACTGTGATTAAAAAGACAATATCGTTTGATGTAAATCTGATTAAAATTGAGATAACTGTAACTAAATAGACAAATATCATCTAAAGTGATCTGATTAAAACAGAGATTACTGTAACTAAATAGACAAATGTTATGTGAAGTAGATCTGATTCCTTTGAAATGATATCTAAATTTGTGATTGTCGTAAATATAGGCTTAAAAGTTTAAACCTCATGGTTGGGTGTGAATTGGTCCCGCTTAGGGAAAATGTTTCCGTTTTTATCTATATTTTTATCGAAATACTGAAAAAGTTGTTCTTACCTCTCTTTTCATGTTATGAAATTATGAGGCCATAAATTTAAATTTAAATATTTCGTAGAAGATCAACTGTATTTAAAAGACTCTAGGCAATCTTCAAATGCCAAAGTTTAAAATTTCCTGTTCCTGTTCAGGTTAAGCTAGTCAGTGGATTGAATAATTGCTGAGAACACTTAAAGTGTCTTTCCTTCTGCTTTTCTTCTTTCATTTAAATTGTCTTTCCTTCTGCTTTTCTTCTTTCATTTTTTTAATTTTTCTTGTTGAAGAGGGATGGCGCTTCAGTGTGTAAATCTTTCTCCATTTCTGTTCAGCATGTATTGTTTATCAACCAATTGTCTCCAATTTAGTTCTTTTTTGGCCAATGACCCCCGAAGAACTCTGGGAATTTGCACCAATCAGCAAGTTACAATAAGCAAAAACATGATATGGTCTTGGTTGATCAGCTTCCGTTGAATGAACAGCTATGGTTAAACTTTTTTCGAGATGCAAACTTGAAATTGGTAGTTGGAAATTTCATGAATACTGTTCAGGATTCTTAAATAAGTGTCATAAATGTGGTCTGTTTGATTCCATCAGGAGCTCACCTTGTACTGGACTGGCTGGAAGAGTTTACTCCATCCTTTTCTGCTAGATTGTTTATTTCTTCTGTTTATTTGGATGGAATGCTTATTTCGTATTTATGCATGAAAGAAAGAATATTTTGATTCCCATGTTGACATGCTAGTGTTCGAACACATTAAGGTTGAAAATGTCCAATTACCACAGTAATATCATTGAAGAATCACATACTAGATGAACTTTCCATTTTTTGTGATGAGAAATACAAGGAACGATTTCTCATGATAATAATATGTTTTTCTCTTCCTCCTCTTATTCCTTTTATTCATATACATCTATATTCTATAATATTTATATCATGCTACACTATACTAATAAAACAAAGGTCATTGGTTGCAGAATTGACATGGGCCTTTTCTTCTTCCCTATTACTAATTATCCATTTTACTAGGCCTTGTTTTCCTATGCTTTCTGTCTGAAACTTCCAACTTCCTTTACATTCATGGTTCTTACAACAATCTCTAAGAGTGTAACAGCACCGTAATACTTAGACACATGCATTGTATGGGTAAACACTAGGCATACTGATTTTCTTTATTTTATTAAATTCCCTGGCATTTTGCCACAATAGTTCAAGAAAAGATATGTTTTCTATTTATTAAAAGTAAGATATCTCAAGAGTTTTCTAGCTTTAGTTCCTTCCACAGTGGCACCAATTACTAATGGAGAAGAATTTCTGATATGCAACTTAGATTGTTTGAAGAGACTATGGATCAAATTATGACCTATTTTGCAAAAATGGGACACAGTTATTCATTATTTCCTGACTTGCTTATTTGGCTTACCTTTCAGTACTGATTTTCCTTTTTGTCATTTTTATAGATTTCAGCTAATTTATTTCTTCAACCTGATCAATGTATAATTCGAGATTGGTACAGTTCTTCACTACATCCTCACAGTAGCTTCTCTTAATTACCTTTCAGTGCTTCTTTTTCCTTTTTCTTTTGGTTCTATGGATGTTGATAGATTAGCATCAGGGTACTTATTCAGCAATTTCTTCAACCTGATCAAACTATAGGTCAAAACATATTATGTGAAATATAAGTCATGGATATTGGCAACAAGGATGACATAATCTTCATTATTCCTCACTGTAGCTTTCTTGAGTTACCTTTCATTACCTTGTTTTCCTTCTTTTTTTCATTTAATAAATGTTGGCACATCCATCTTATCTATAGGTTTTGTCTCCAAGCTAAGTGGTCATGTATATTGTATTACTCAGGTTCTTTTTATGTAAATTTTGTAGCAGAGATTCAACTCTCAAGAAAGAGCCAACCCATCAAAGAGGATCTCCTCATTGGCCTCAGGTATGGCCACACGAGATGAATCTCAACTCCAGCTTGCAAGAACATCCAACAATGTTACACGCCGATGGGGGACGGCCTCTGTTCCAGACAACAGATGTAAGTTTATGCTTCTGTACAGATCATTTATCCATCTGCGTTCCTTTCTTTAAGATGCAAAAGATAAAGGGAAATAAACTTTTATTTGACATGATAAAGTAAGGCCTTAGTCCCAAAACTGTGTATTAACATCTTGCTTGTGATGCTTTTGCCAGGTCAAGTTAATGAAGAGCTTGAAAACAAATTCAGACAGACGGAAAGTTCACTGAGTAGGATTACGATGATATTGGACTCTGTTCAAAATGATGTAATGCAAGTGAACAGAGCTGTAAAAGAAGTATCCATGGAGAGTAAGTATTAATAGTTTACCATTTTATAAGTAGAAATATACTGACCATGTTTCTGATTATATGCTGGTGAATTTGATATATGAAATAATGGTTAAATTTAGTGTTCAATAAGTTAATGCAGTATTCATAATTCTTTCTTGAAAGGTTATAATATGTTTCACTTTTTATTGAAATTAAACTGCAGCGGAAGGCATTCGGCAGAAGATAATTCTTCTTGACAACTCCATGCGGCATGTGGTAAAAATCAGAAATTGGGATAAACTGCTCCCTAAGTTTCCTTAGGTATTGCATACAAGTGGGAGAGTACTTATATTAGCATTAAACTACAATGACAGGTCAAGGCAGACGAAGGACTTAAAGCTTTCCTAGATGCAAAGCTGAAATCTATTCCTGACCAAGTGGTGGAATCCAACCAGAGTAAACTAAACGAAATTGCCTCAATGATTTCGGATTTACCAAAGCAGATGGAATCACACTTGGTGAAATTCCAACGGGAACTTTGTATGTTTGTTGCCGAAAAGACAGAGGTACTAATGAATGAGTCTTACAGCATAGTAAAACATTCAATTAAAGGAAAACTCCCAATCCAACAAAATAAGACGTTTTCACGCGTGCACACATGCAAAAACACGCACGTGCGCATACACTTGCACATTGTCATGTTTAACATTTGCTTCGGTATCTCTTAATGCTTGATTGGTTACCATGGCACAAAATCAAGGAGCTTTATTTTTCTAATTTTCAATATAAAAACATAGAGTGTATATGCACAGCACTTCAGTTGGCAAGTTCATTTTTCCTCGTTCCTTTTTTTTGGGAAGAAGTCAAATCCGGAGAACCACTATTAATGCTGACATATAAGTGCCTTCATTTATATCTTTCTTATATTTTTCACACTAAGTGTTGTGTCATCTCTAAATCCAGAGTTTCTGGAGCTTTTTCTGAAATTTTAAGTTTTATCTTTTTTTCCCACTTGTCATGAAACTTTTCATTCTGTTATCTTTTTGTTTCACATGATGTGTTCAGCTTTCGTCTTGTTTTAAAGTTAATTAGATTACAAATTGGCCTGTAGGCCATCTCTAGAAACTATCATCTTCCATATCCAGGTGCACCTCATACTGTCCCAACATTTTGGTCCCAAACTCTAAATGGCCTCCAGGACTTAATACTACCAAACTTTTTTAGCTGTTCGCCTGTTCCCTTGGCCACCAGAAGGTTGACATCAGGTTGATGGGTGATTAAAAAAATTGTTCAATTCTCCCATAGGACCCATGGTCCAGAAAGGACCTCATTAGGGAAGTACTTAGAGGATGAAGACAATAATTATCTCTAGACATTATGATGCCGTGCAATTCTACAACCTGTGTCAACCCTCATGCACTGAAGAAATTGAAGTCCACCTAAAAAGATTATTATTCGTTGCAGGTAATAGGAAATAGCAAGAAGTTTTACAATGATAGCTTTCTAGAAAATCTCCAGTCGCCAAAGGTACATTTTCCCCTTCTTTCTGCAGCATTTTTTCGTGGCTGTTTAACCATAAAATATAAAATATAAAGCTTTTTTTCTTAATGCATTATCTGATTATTCACCAGTATCTATTCTCCTCTTCTCAGAGTAAATGCTACATTGCCGCGCGACAACCTCAGAAGAACCAGATACCAATGTACATCTCCATAATAAGTGCCCTTTTGATGCTAATCACTAGTAAGCTACAATTTGAAATAAGGAACTACGTTAATGATCCATAAAGTTAAAATCAGAATAAGGATGTGGACCTATTGCGAGTTACTTGCAGGATGACAATACTAACAAGTCGATAGCTATAATGTTCTCATTATGATCAGCAACAATAAACAAAATTCTTGTTTGGTTCACTATCAATCTTTCATTGTAAGAAATATAGAAGAAACATACATTAATTTTTCTTATACTACACTTTTTAGAGCATTTGGTGATATTCAAAATGTTTCTTTCATGCATAGTTATTCAGATGTCTTTCCTAATTAATGAACTTGTCATAATCTTTCCTTGTAATAGTCCCGTGCTGCCTCCATTTGGTCATACAAGAAGGGTTTCAGCTCCCAAGATGGAAGCAGATATCCCAAAAACATTAAAACCAAAGGTTACTGGCTCAAACCGCAATGTCATGCTTAAGCGAGAAGAAATTCCAATCCTACCAAAGGTACTCCGGGTGTTTGCTAATATTTGGCTGGAAAAATATATGCCTGCTTTCAAATCTTTTTACCTAAATAATTTTTCTGCTGATATTTGTCTCTATGTCAGTCAAACAACCTTTTTCTTTTGATCTTGCTTCTCTATGGCAAGATTGAAACCAAGAGAAGGTCCAATCATTCCAAACTAAATACATGTGGATGAAACTTTCTGTTATTTGCTTAAATGTGACAAGCCATGCAATGCAGGAGAAAGATTTCAGCGTAACTATTGACTCAGATGAAGAGAGTGATGTTGGTCTTTCTTGCCTACTTGTGCAAAAAGAAACGGGTAAAATCAACTGCCTTGCCTGCAGTGTATTTATGAAAACTCTGCTAAATGTTTTTCAGTGACAATTACTCCCATGAGAACGCAACTGCATTTTTCTAGTTTATGCTAAATCGTTCTGCTTATGTACTAGTAGAAATGTAAAAAGGAAATGCCTTTCTCACGGGAATCTGTTATAAGTTATAACTAGACATATTCAGTAATGTTGTCATACACAGTGTTTAGTCCGGTTGGAGAGCTGCATCATTTATTCAATGGAAATTTAATGAAACTTATCCTGGGAAGTTATCATAATGAAAATATATACTTGAGTTTCCCTTCTGAACGAAACTGGCAGTCAGTTCTGATCTTGTTTAAAAACATGCCGTTGTTTTACACCGTCCAGTTTTTCTTTATGTCCGTCAACTGCATTCCGCCGCCCATTTGGAGCATTGATTCTAAACAGCCATGCTGAAGTACTTGCAAATGTTTATGGTTGAAAAATGCTAAGTGTACTACCTTTTTTACTACTTTGGCACTACTACTCACAAAGGAGAAGGGGCTTCACTTGAAAATTGTATTGATGACTTATCATGGCCCTACTCTTTTGTGAGTGGTAGTGCCAAAGTAATAGAGAAAGCGTAGTACACTTATCACTACTCTTTATGGTTAAGGCATTCTGTTACTCATGCACACTGTCTACCCCATTAGGAGACCAGATGTCCGTGTTGTTAATGTCATTATGTCACTATCATTAAGTAAATCCTAGGGTGCTTAGAAAGAGGAGTCAACATGCTTTCATAGTGGTACCTGTCGCCGTAAGCATGTAACACATGTAGTAAAAAATTAAATTCTACCAGGAACTGTAAAAAAGCAATTTAATAAGCGAGTGTCAGCTATTTCTGTTGAAACGGATGTTGTTGCTGTTGTTGCGGAATGATATACTTTGTGTATGTGTTTCTGTGCAGAACCATGATAGAGTAGTACATGTAGTAGCCCAAGCACCGCTATTCATTTAATACGTAAACTTGTTTGCTCTTAGCTTTTTCCAGATTAAAAAATGCATTTCATTTTGTCGATTATATGGCATCACCATCTTGTTAAAAGATGTCTAAAAATGTGAGATTTATTTAGTAGTTTCGAAGTCTTATAGGTTAATTAATCATATAATATTGCTGATGTCATTTAGTCTTCTACACAAGAACCAACCTCCGACTGTAAGCCAGTACCAGAAGCAGAATCTTATTCATTATTTTGATTGGACGTGGCAGGTAAAGCAAGTCATTTGGTGGAAGAAGCAAAAGAAGAAACTCTTCGGATTCTACGAAAAGCGAGAAAGAGAAAGAGAAGGCAAAGTAACTGTGTGATTTTAGATTGAAGGTAACTATAACAGGCCATGCTGTACCTTATTGTTAGCATCACACTCTTGGGCTCCTCCAGTTTTATTTAGCAGGAGCTGCATGCGTTTACATAAAGCATGATTTTAAAAATCTGTAAATCCTCTGGCAGCTGTTGCTTTAAACATCCCACTTTCAAGTGAATGCAGGCTGTTGGCAAGAGACGTCACAGCTTCCCTTGTTAACCTGACAGACTGAGCGAAAACCGCATTCTTTTTTAAACTGTGTTTTGGCAAATCAACGGAGGCTTATCGTTTCTCCAGAACTAGTTACATACAGTTGATCAACTTTTCAAAATATCTTTTTTGGAATCCAACAAAGCCTGCGGAACATTTAGCATGTTCTAAGTTAGACGCGTATTCATCAGTAAAAGCATTATCCTCGTTGATACATCAGCTTCCATCAATGCGGTCTGAACTTAGTATAAGGCCTATTCCAAATTTCCAATGCACCAGTTTCCTCTTGTCCAGTCCCAACTCCCAAGTATAACTTGACTCTTAGATCAGGCATCCTAGTTCTGTAAGCTCTCGTAGTCCGAGATTTATCTCACTGATAACTCCTTTTTTTTTTTTCATTTTGCTCTTCAAGGTAATATGATTTACTAGACACACATCCTCTAGCCTTTTGACCAGTCCCACTGTCCTGTTTCATTTAATTTCTAGCCTACCTTTTTAGTCGAACAGTAAAACTACCTTTAATTGTGATTGGGATTCGATTCTCTAATAAGCGAACGGTGTGAAGATAACAGAACAATGCTAGTTTACCTCAAGAAACCCAACCACCGGGTGATGACTAATAAGAGTAATGGACTGGAAACACGGCCTCTCAATGTTTGAAAGCCTCGCTTATTAGTGGCGTCTTATTAGATTGCACTTCAGTATGTTGATGTCATGAGTTTCTGTGGGCCTCAAAGTCCAAAGGGACAATTTCAATTTAAAGTGGCTTTCCGTATGGGAGAGAAACAGAAGAGAGAAGAATCCACTACAACGCGATGATGCTAGAAAGTAGAATCCCATCAATTTGCTTTGGCAATGGCGGACACAAGTCTATAAACAGTTTCGATGTCTGTTACAGGATAAAAGGTAGAAGTGGAGTTGGTCAATTCTAATTTCTAAGAGTAGCTGGTACTAGCTCCCTTTCCCTTTTATTTTCTTCTCCATTTTTTTTTCCCCAAAAGATGCTCATCTCAGATTCATCTTTTCTGAGAAAACTATTTTCATTTTCCTGATTAAAAAGTACTTCACACGCAAACATATAAAAAAAAAAACTAGGCAAGGACTACTACATCTCGCTGATGTATCACGCTAGAACTTGTCAATTTTTTGTAATAGTAAACTCTTGTTGGATACGATAAAAATGATAAACATGTTTGTGTGTGTCTAAAATAATAATATCGTATTATCATAGAATATCGAAAGATTAGATTAACATGTTTTAGGTGGATTAGTTGAGAAATGATAATGATAACCACTCTACACAAGGTGAAGAAAACTCCATTAACAAAGTGATGATGAAGGGGACAGCACATCAAACTCCATGCTATATCACCTTCACAGTCTCCTGTATAAATCTTGTCCCCAGTTGAAGTCTACATGCTGAACAAAAGACCAAATATGAAGTTGCAATATTTGGTGAGATGTCTACATTAGCCTAAATCACTCGATTTAATGATTGATCACTTGAAAGATTTAATGATTGATCACTTGAAAGATACGCATGCGAAAGGGGCTAGCTCTGAACCATTAAGAAAAAACGAAAGTTGAAATTTTCAAACTGTCACTCTACTCTTACCTAGAATTACGCAAAAGACTATACTCATATGCAGAGTGTTCTGATAAAATTTGCGCAACATCTTTAAAGGCTGTAGACGACTGCACAGAGTTGTCGTGGGCGGGTAGAATTTAGATTCTAGCTTTTAAGGGAGCAGTGGAGGGTGCTAGGGCCCTTTCTTGGTTTAGTGGTGCGCCCTAGTGAGAGAGCATAACATTCTTGTGGCCATTTTATTTAGTGCAAGGTTGGATTGCATATACAAGGCAAGGGAGGTACAAACAGCTATATCTCCACTATAATTGCCGCTCAACAACACCACTATCGCAAAAAATAAAATAAAAAACCAGTTGGGAGAGATTTATGCACACAAATCTCATATTTGGGGGATAGGACGAGTGTTAGAATTTTTCAAAAAAAAAAGAAAAAAAAAGAGAAGGAGTTAATATCAAAGGAAGGTGTATATAATTTTACTCTGATGTCGATTGAGCGGATATCCAAGATAACCATCTTTGCTCAGCCTCATTCGTGCCTCCTTGTAACTGTTTTAAATAAAATACGCTTGCCCACCATTTTACCTCCAAAATAATTTTATCCACAGAAGAAATTTATTTTAACGATATTATGTTATTTCACTAGTTTAGATGACTAATTTATAAAGTACCCTCTGTAAATTTATAATCATATTTCAGTCAGGAAAGATAGAAGCTCGACACAATCATGACTATTCTCTTATCTTTATTCTCTTTTTTTATGCAGTCCCATTAAGAAGTTCTATTAAATTCTATGTATATGAACACACACAAGTTAACTAACATGTCACTGCAAACAAAATAGGGTGGCACTAGGGGCACACCCCCAACCACAACTCCAACCACACCCTCTCTCCCTTATTGTTACAGTACACTTGGGGCCCCCCCCCCAACCACAACTCCAACCACACCCTCTCTCCCTTATTGTTACAGTACACTGGGTCCCGTATGGGATTTTAAAATTTTAAAATCTCATGCGGGGCCCGGTATACTGTAGCAAATGAGAGAGGGGGTGTGGTTGGAATTGTGGTTAGGGGTGTGCCCCTATCATTTTCCAACAAAATAACATAGAAATAGCATATATAAAGGTGTGATACTATCAAATTAAACGACATGTTTATAAATGTAATGATTAGACCATTATTGAGTTTGATCACTGGGTATTATCATAGAAATCATCACAGTCAGTGATGTAATTGCTCGAGACGCTTCACCTCGTACTTAATATAAATATAAATATAGTTAACGTGATGCAACATTAACAAACAAGTTCCAAATGAAAATTTCTTAAAATTTTTACTATGTTGATCGAAAATTTCCTCAATACTGGTCCAATAAATCTCTAGTTTTTTGAACTTAATCTTTCAAATCATTGAATTGTTATTTGAACCCTCAGTTCTCATAAGTTTTATCGAAATCCGTCCCTCAAATCAATGAATTTCTATTGGACAAATTTTCAAAACAGACCGGTTTTGAAATTTATTCCCAAAAAAACCTGTTTCTAACTTAATTTTAAAAACCGACCCAGTTGACTGAAACTGAGTCGGTTTTTGAAAAAAAAATTCACAAACTTCACGGGAGTTGAACTCCCGTGAAGTTTTGTTATGAGAAAAAACTTCACGGGAGTTAAACTCCCGTGAAGTTTGTGAACTTTTTTTTTCAAAAAACGACCCAGTTTCAGTCAACTGGGTCGGTTTTTAAAATTAAGTTAGAAACAGGTCTTTTTTTTGGAAATAAATTTCAAAACAGGTCTGTTTTGAAAATTCCTCCAATTTCTATTAGATCACCTAATTTTTATGTATTAATTCACATTTATCCTTTTTGTCCATGGCAGTATACGCGAGATATGAGGAGTGGAGGACTTATTAGCAAATTCTAATGAGGGGGAGGGGGGACAAATGTCAATATATTTAAATGAAGGGACTTATTTCGAGAAAGAAAGAAATTTTAGTGAGGGCATTGCAGGGATAAAGAAGTACGCCGCGTGCACAACCCCATAAAACCGCAAAAGCCAACGTAACGTAGAAAAGGAGAAGAGAATCAGCGAACCAGAAAACTGTACAAGGAAACAAGGTGTCCTTTTCGGGAAACTGCAGCCTAGCGCATCGACCCAATTTTCCCTTCCCAAAATACCCCTCCCTTCCCAAATTACCCCTCCTCCCTCCCACCTCTAACTCCGCGGTTTCTAATGCCCCAAACCCGCATCCTAACTGCTCCTATGGCAATTCCGCGAACTGGGTCTTCGCCATTTTACTACTTCAGTTGTTAAAAGGTGAAAAAATTCGATTTTTGAGGGCGTAATAGAATTTTGTGGAAGAAGAAGATGGTGGCTGAGAGTTGTTGATTATTGCTACATTTTTGGTTATTTAGTTGAAGTAGACTCTTGCCTTTGCTTTCAAAAGGACGGAAACAGCTGCATAAAGCTTTGTGTAGATTGTGAAGTCTTTTGTCTTATTGTAAGATGTGGGAGCAAAATTCAAAGTTGGATGCATATGTAGAAGAAAAAAGCTATGATTCCTTGCGTCACTGGTGAGCAAAGAACAGCTTAGATTGCTCAGTTTTATCCCTTTAAGCGGCAAAAAAATTTTGTTCAGTGGGTAGCTTTCGAGGCTCTATCAGCTAGTTCTTGATTTCAGGTATCTTAATATTTTTTTTTCTCTCTTGAAATTGCCGAATTAGTGCTTGTATAAATATTTGTGATGACTTTAGTCTGAATCTGCTTGAATTGTATTTCATCATCGCTTAGGGTAAAGATTTATGATTTGATCATGGAATAGAATTGCATGATTGACTTGATTGTCCGATGTCAGACTTGAGCTAGTTCCTTTTTTGTTTCTCTGTGTGAGGGGGTTTGGCATTTCGTTTTGTTAATGACATGTAATTTGGTAGCCTTTCCTTGATTTCGAATATTATTATTATTATTTGGTTAATTTGAAGCTGGTGAGTGGCTTCAAGCTTCTAGAAAAGAAGAATACAGAATCATTCGATTTCATAGGCACCGAAGTTATGGTTCTGTTAATGGAAATTCTTAATGCGAAAATTCTGTTACTAGACATTCTAGTTAAATGACAGATGCCTTCAGTCCAAATGAAGCAAAAATACTGAAAATTGGTTATTGCATCTTGTATTCACTCCATTTCCGATTTACTTATCGCAATATCATATTCATAAAGGATGCTTTTGATTGTCAAAACATTCAGTTGCCAAGCTATATAAGATCAATCTCATTATCCTTTTAGCGCATTCAAGTATATGTATGCTAACTCAGATAAAACTTAGAAATACACTCCCTATTTTGAGGAACTTAAAATTTTACTATCTCCAGTATGCATGTTTGGGTACTTGCCAT